CGCGTCTGTCTCCGCGACCCGAAAGGAGAAGCGGCAATGGAAGATGAAGATGAAGCTAAAGGAACGGTACGATGCCACTCTGTGACGAATTTGCGTCGAGTTGTGCTTTAGCTGTATTTTTGGGAAGATTTTTTTCCTTACGAAAGTAAGGATATTTTGTTCGCTGTAATCGTCAATGAGTAAGAAGGGCATGTGCATTATGGTGACTTGTTTCGTTAAGAATCATTTTAATCATGAGAAACGTTACATCTGCTGCATGATGATTTTCAGCCAGGTAGCACGGTCGTAGTCTTCATCATAGGAGGTGAGGCCAATGAGGTCATTTACTGTAAAATGTAACTCACCTGTCACATAGACTCTTCTTAACTAATTTATGGCATATGTATTTTATAAGACTTATTCACCTATGGGTTTACAGGACCAGCATTGTTCTGGTTACATAACCTATCAAGAAAACAGTCACTACAAGTAGCTGTTCCTGAATGCATTGTGCCACAACGTTCTCCGGCATGATTTACCATCTCGTCAACGTGAAAATACCCCCACGGCATTTGGACCGGTTTCAAATGGAATTTGTGCTTACGTCTAATGGAGCTGATGTCAGCCAGCCAAACGGTCTATTCACAAGGTCTTCTTTCGGTGATTTCAAAGGCTATGAAAGAGCAAGGCATTTTTTATCATATAATGGATTTATGTAACCATAGCTTTAATGACTGTGTGACAAATGCAGCTATAGCCACGTCTTCCTTCTCATAAATGTCATATTTTTTTGTACGAGAGGGTTAACTGACGATGACCCTGACCGGAGTTCCGACTGAAAATTTTTCTATGGTTATTCGATGAAGCTATAAAACTATCATAACCCAGAATTATGAAAATTCATATGTACATTCAGCATTTTGTACATTCATTGTTGTCATTGTCATCTGGGGTATCAGGGTCAAGAACAGAGTATCCGGATTAATGATGTCTGACGCTTTGACTGCTCAGAATAATTGTGGCGATGTAGGATGCTGTGGCAAAGGTCATTGTACATTTATTCGGAATGGAAAGACCAAACAAAGCCAGTTGTTCCTCCGTGGTGGAACAGCGCCTATGAGGTCGGCTTGCGATTCCGGAGGCACTGGGTTTGATTGTGCCAAAAGGCAATCTTTGTCTAAACCGCCAGTTCCCTTGAACGAGCAATTTACCACACGTTGCTCGCTACTCATCCTTCTTCCCTCTGGGATTGATAAATGAGTACCACTCTGTGGGAAATGTAACGAATGAGATGAGATTACACATTATCTTTGTCGCATGTGCCTTAAAATCGCCCATCAGAATGATTGATTCAGTAGTCGGCACTTCTTACAGCGCAGCACCTGCTTCCTTCGTAGAGAACTCATATTCTCCCTCCCAATTGTCTGCAGCGACCTGAGAGAAATGCTGTCAGAGCTTTGGCCTGCCGCAACTTCAGTCGGATGACTCCCACGCATTCGTTGACACGCTTGCATTCACGATTCTCTTGGGTTCTACCAGAATACCAACAATAACATGAGTGCATATCGCGCAGTGTACACTTAAGTAGAATAGCTTGCCCCCCCCCACCCACAGAGGTTCAGGATTCCAGAGCCCTGTCGAT